AAATTTCGCTCAAAAACGGGTCCCAAATAAAAACTTAAAATTGATATTACTCGATTAAATGATCTAACCTAGAAAAATGACTATATCCACTAAAATCAGCGTACCCGAATTGACTTTACTAGGTAGGTCGTCGGCATCTTCAAAATAAAAATTTTCGTCTTGTGCACAGTGTTATTAATTGAAAACAAAAATAAAAATTTCAATATAGAATATCAGTAAGGTATCTAACGAAAAAAAAAGTATGTAGAATTGAAAAGAATTAAGTTTTTTGGTTCACAAAGCCGAATAAGTATTGAAAAGTGGTTTCGTAAGAAAATTGATTTTCTCTTGCGGGAAAATCTTTACCGTTGCACGGTGTTATACTTTGAAAATAAGGAAAATTATTATTTAGTATTTTATTGTTAAAAACTCATTACCTTGAGTTCAGAAAGCGTTGAAGGAAGGGCAATAATCACTTCATAAGACTTCGGCCTGTATGAGCGTAATCTTTACCTAGTACTTATCGAAAGATTCAATGGCAACTAACTAACTAAGGATTTATGACAAATTTGTCTATTGTTCTTTTAAATATAGTCCAATGATATGAAGTTTTGGTGCTATAAATTATTGCGAATAAATATTTTTAGCATTAGGTATACTACACACATACTCTGGCTTAGTATACATCCTTTGTATACACTCTTTAAATCCTCTCTTCTTATTTGGCACTCTTTAAATCACTGCAAACTTAAATTAACCACCCAAAAATTCCAGTCAGACTATTTTCGTTAGCCGCAGACAAGCGTTTCACATAAAAACAGATGAAGCGACATGGACTGAATGAAATGACGAAATCCTCTAGGGACTAACCATCAGTGTTACAAGCAAAGTCACTTTGCACCAGCAAATCGTAATTTTTTTTATTTGCTTTTGTGTTGACGTTTTGCCGTTGTTGTTGTATACTGGCATAGTTTGCCAGTGCTGTAAGTGATATGCAGGATTTTTGTTTGCCAGGAAGATAGAACATTTAACATAGGATTATTTGGTGGTAGTAAGAAACAAAAACAAAAAATTTATTTCAGCGTTTTCTTATTTTGAATGCATTACTTTCCTTTTGACTTTCCGTAGCTTTTTGTTCTTTTTGTAGTTTTCCGTATAAAGGTAAATCTGCGAACTTGTCTAAGTTGCCATCAAAAATTATAAAAGTATGTAGCTCTGTGCCTTTAACTTTTTCAGTGTATTACTTGGGTAAGATTTAAGAAAAATATAAAGCGGCTGGCTGGATGAATCTGAAATAATAATCCTATATAAATAGTACATATAATCCTCATCAATGAGTACATGTTAAAGGCTATGAGAGAACAGAATTTTCCACAAATTAAAGTTGCACTTTGAGTAGTTAGAAGGGCGAAGAAGCATTCGACAGTATTCAGGCACAATCACTGGTTCGCGCAACATCTTAAAATAGCGACACATTTTAAGTGCTATCGCGTCTCTTATGCATCTGCCATAAAAAAGGTCTTCACAAAAATTCTTCTGTCGTTTGAGGGCGAACACCATTTTAGCAGGTTTTTCCACTTTAAAACTATTTTTCCCACCAAATTTATAATTATAAAAACTATAGCCTGTTATTCGATAAACATTTTGCCTGTTGATCCTCAGCATGACCCAGTTATAACTGGTGAAGTGATAAGTGCGAGAAAAAAGATTTGACACTATATGGTTTTAGAATTTGCCTTCAACAATCGGCATCGAAACAGTAAACCCCTAGAACAGGCACTTCAGATTTATATCTGGCCAAGGACTGTCACTCCAGCAACACTCCCCAAAAAGTCTTTGGGGAATTTGTATGCTGCTACAACAACAACAACAACAACAACAGGCACTTTCCCGGCGGAGTTGTTCAAATTCGGCGCCTGAGGGCTGGTAGGGAGCAGCTACCAGAATTTGGTCTTTTGAATACATGGAATGATGAGCTATACGAGCTGTTTAACGACATGGACATAGCGTCGTCTGGGTGGGTAGCTTCTTCGGGAAATCGCGATTGAAGATTGTGATTAAACTTAGTACTCAACTGACGACAATTTTTACTCAATATCTCGGAAACTAAAGGAGATACCCAAAAACCGATGGTCAATCAGGCTTTATTCAATCGACAGACTCCGTCTTTTGATCAAAACGTTTTACCGTTTAAGACCCACTTAAACCTCGAGAATCGCAATCAGTTGAGTTTTCCACGTATTAGAGTCGTTCAAAAACAATGAAGTCGGAATTTTAATGCCGCCACCCCCTAGCACATTGGGACACATCGGGGGACAAAAGTTGTTTCACATTCGACCTTGCAGTGCGACACTAAATAAAACTTTGTTTTTAGAGTAGTCTGATATTAACAAAACATTTGGCTCAAATTTTCATAGCACTATGATGATTTTTGTCTGTTTTATGCTTAAAACTCTTATGTATATATATTTTGTGTTCGATGAAACCTTACTTGGGCTGCGGTGAAGATTTTCGTCAAACTCGCTTGCCACTCAATGTGCTGATATGTAAAAGAGGAGCGGCAACGATAGCTGGCAGTATGGGTGGGGAAGCACAATTCAAGGAGTTTACAAGTGAAAGGCCACTTACACTTACATACATACATACTACTTGCAGGTAGCTGGAGGCCATCGATTCGTGCTGTCGGAAGGTAAATGGTTGTGGAATTAATACCACTTCTATGAGTTCCTCCTTTGAATTAATGTTTTGTATACACAAACACACACGTGTATACGTGTGTATATGTAACTCCTTCACTGCTTGTTTGTGCGATAGATTTGAAGGTTTACAAATTATTCTCCAACTTCTCGTTATAGCATTTGTATGGAGATATTTACATATGTACATTAATTTGGAGGTAAATATACATTGACTTGCCATATATGAATGTACCTATATACAAACATATGTAAATGGGTCAGTCCATGTCAAATCGACCAATGGTTGCGATCGGCCATTTTTGAATTGAATGAATTATGGGTGGAACTTTTATTTTACACTATAACGAAGTGCTGCCAAAGAAAAAGAAGTAAAAAAAAAAATTTTCGAAAGTTCTAAATTTTACAATTGCCCTGATTTTGCAAGTTAATTTTTTTAATATCTACACAACTATTCTAGTTGCAAAAATGGCCCTGGACGCGTTTTGAAGCTAATACTTGAGGCTATACATATTATATTAAAAAAAAATCTAAAAAATACAGAATGTTGAATTTTAAACAAACATAAAACTTATATACTATTTTAGCTCATTTCTTTACACAATACCTACCACTGTTTTTATGAACTTTGAAAAAAAAGAATAAATTTAGGGTTTGGAAAAAACTCAGAGCTCAATAATTTATGTCTTAAAAAACACCTTGAAAATTTCAGGAAATTTTAGGATCAGTTGGATGTGATTTATAAAAAGATTAGTCAACATTTTTTACAAGTTTTTTCTTCAACGATTTCATAATTTCAAAATTCTCTAAATTTTTTTATACCTACATATAATTTTCCTTATTAGCCCTAAATATCATCTTCAAACCTATACAGAACCATTTTTATAGCTATAATAACACAGTTTTACAAAAAAAAGTTCCTCCATATCAAACCAAACCTACATATAAATCCCTACGGTATTCGACACGCTGAATGCGAATCCGAGGTCCGTTAGCCTCCATCACGTCAGGTTAGAGGTCAGGTGAAGGTCAAGTAGGGAAAAAAACCATTGAATAAACCTGAAAATGCAATACGAATCTTCTGAATTTGAACTTGTGGCGACCTTGACAAAAATTTACTTCGGCAAGCGTTCTATTAATGGGTAGGATACCAGATTTGGTCGTTTTAACATGGATTGACCCATATGTATATATGTATATTAAGGTATGTATATACACATGAACATACCTGTATGTTTCTTATACAACGATGTTTATTTGGTTGATTGAGTGACGATTTGCGGTGGATGGGTTAAGGATTGTATGGGATTACAAGATTTTGCATGACTTTGTACATACACGCATACATATGTACAATGTATCTAGTTACGTATGTACATACATAGGTTCGCACAAACTAGTATGTTGCTACAAGTACATACAATTTCGCAGCTGGGTATGAATGGTGATTATTTATTGTAAAACATATTGTTAGAGTTGTTTGTAGTTGGCTACTGCTGGTCATGTCGAGGCCGGTAATTGATCTTGATTAAAGTTATGTTATCTCAGCTTGTTGAACAATGGCGCAATCATACACTGATGTACCTATGTACGTAAATTTGTATGAATGTATGTACTCCGAAAAAAATGCACATACATACAGGCATAGTATATGTACTTGTTTGCAAATATTTCCCCATACTTCCAGGCAGGGACCGTAACGGTTACAACGTTTATTAAAAAAACGCTCTTTAACAATTATTGTTTGACATTTATTTAATTACTCCTTAAATAACAAAAATCAGTCACTGACCTTTACTTTTTAATTCATACTAATAAAAGTCATTTGCATAAGTCTTAGTAAACTTTTGTTTCTCAACACCTTCTTAACTGCGAAAAATGTTAATGACTTGTATACGAATGATTTAAAAAATAAAAGTCGGTGACTGATTCATATTGATGACTTTTTTAAATAAAAGTCGTCAATAACTGTTATCAGAGAATAAACCGTATTAATATAAAAATCAAAAATAATTGTTATTTTTTTAACTTTGCATAAGAATTGCAAATAAAAATTTATTTTCAAATTTGAGTCTCGGTGAAAAAAGAAATCGATTGGTATGTATCACATAGTTGTAAAGCATTTCCTTCATGGTGAAGTTTTCCATGACAATTTTCACCAATAACCGTTATGTTCGGTCCCTGCTTTCAGGCATACGAGCATTTATCTTTATGCGAATTCCACAACTGATTAACTTAATAGATTTCTCTAAATACACTTTGAATATTACGAGTACTCACATATTTTATGTTGCACATATGTATAACAAATTTTCTACATTCCAGGTTTGGTTTCAAAATCGTCGCGCCAAGTGGAAGAAGCGCAAGAAGACAACAAATGTCTTCCGCACACCAGGCGCACTATTGCCTTCGCACGGTTTGCCACCATTCGGCGCCAACATTACCAATATTGCCATGGGTGAGGGTCTCTGTGGAACCGGCATGTTTGGTGGTGATCGTTGGGGCGTGGGCGTAAATCCGATGACTGCAGGTGAGTGTCAGTTGATTGATGTACATAACTGCAAGATGAGAGGAATTTATAGTTTGTATGTATGTATATATGTATGTACCTATATTGGAATTTTGTAGACTACAATAATTTTAGAACTAATTACGAGTAGGCAAATGAATTATTTGATTTGATTAGTTAATCTAGCAGTCGACTAACCTCCTTTCGTCTATTCTTTTTCTTCTTTCCTTTTCTTCCACATTTTATTTGTATTTTAACTACAAAAATCATCTATCTAACATTAATGTTGCAATTACTAAACATTATGAAGGGTTTGGTCAACTTAATCAATCTTCGCCGCTTTCATCTACAATAAATAGTGGTCTTAATTCGGGTATTAACATTGGTTCTGCAATGGGTGCTGGCAGTTATCAGCATTATGGATTAAACGCTTTAGGTACGTTAAATTAACAAACTTTCATTGTAATTTTATTTTTTTATTTTTTCCAAATAACTTAATTTTTACTTACGTATTATAACTATGTTGCCGGAACTAATACAGCAGCGAAAGATTTTTTTTTTATATATAACAATAGCTAATGTACAAAATTGCTTTAACAAAAATATAAAACGACTTCTTAGTTTTATGTAATTATCATTTGAAGGGCTAGTGGGTGGGACACTGAAAATAACTCTATTTTACCTTTGTGCACTCAAAGATGAATTTCATTCAAAACACTTAATTTTTGGGTAAGATATTTTTGTGTTGTAAAATATGAACTATACGATTTCGTTTTCCATAAAAATTAGCCCTATATAACCTTCATATAAATATTGAGAAATATTTAAATTTGTGACTGGTGGGACATGTGCTTGTGACTGGTATGAGGTAGTTATGTATGAAGTAGAAGTTTCCGTAGACAAAAATTACAACTTCTTTTTATTTTTTAATAATAACTGATTAGTGAAATGTAGTCATTTAAAAAGAGGTTACTACTGAAATAGAGACCATTAGGGCATTTTAAAATTTATGTCGTTTTCGACTTTTACATGGAATGATCCAGTACTTAACAATTAGATTAGATAAAAAATATATTTATTATAAAAAAATATACAAAAAACAAATAAAAAATATATTTTTCGTTTTAAAACAATAAACTCTTAAATTATATGCAAATTTAATTAAAAAATTATAAGAAGTATTTAAAAAGAAAAAAACAAGTTCCCAGAAATGAAATGAAATTAAAAAAATACTCTTTTTAAAACATTAACAAACCAAAACATTAAAGAAATTTAAAATGCGAACAAAATTAAATTAACTTTTTTAAAAATAAAATATGTTTCTAAAATTTAAATTAAAAAACATATTTTTTCCTTTTAAAAATAAAAAATCTTAAAAATAGAAAAAAAAGAAAAACATGTAGATTAAAAAAAAGAAAAAAACTCCTCTCCGCCAGGATTTGAGCTCGGATAACTCGATTAGCACGCCTGTTCCCACGCGTCATTGCGTCTGTTGGAGCGAGGCGAACTAAATTATGTTTTAGTACTTTCTCTCAAAATAGCTTTTCACCACGAGTGGTGAACGAGAAAGCTTTTTTCAGAATAACAAAGGTCTTTCGAACTTCCTTGTCATCTGTCGTTCATTTGTGTTACGAAAGACTTTTTACCATCTTAGCCAGATACTGCCATGCGTATTCAGGCTGCGCCTTACCAACCCTTTGCCTTATCAACCCTTCGCCGAATAAATTAATTAGCTCAACTATTTGGATGGATGTAAGCTCCAGTTTGTTGTTTTTCATCCGCGGAATTTTTATTCGTACCTCGCCATTGTGAAACGATGAGCTCGCACGGCTCAGGTTGACTTTGACCGCTGTTTTGAAGGCTGATACTATTTAGAAGGATGAAAAAGTTATCCCTCCATAACTTACAGCGGCAGTCAAAAATGGATGAATGGTGTTTCGTTGTTAATATTTACAATGTATTTAGAAGGATGAAAAAGTTATCCCTCCATAACTTACAGCGGCAGTCAAAAATGGATGAATGGTGTTTCGTTGTTAATATTTACAATGTTTTTCAAGCTAAAAGTTTTTTTTTTTATTTTTTTTATAAAAATATGGTTCATGCTTTAACAAAAGCTATATAAATCATACTTTCAAATTTTGTGCAGAACTTAGAAAAATTCCACAAATTTTTATCCAAATTTCAGGCTTTTTAATCAGAATTCGTAGAAATTTTTTGGATATGCAGTTTACAAGCTTATAAAATTCTAGTAAAACGAGTGCAAGTTTTGAGGGCCTATAAAATCGCATTGATTTTTAATAACTTTTTTTTGTTGACGGCGTTTTCCACTTTTTTCCATATGAACCATATTTTTATAAAAAAATATGAAAAAAATTATGGGTTGAAAAACATTGTAATTATCAAAAACTAAACACCATTCATCCATTTTTGACCGCCACTGTAAGTGTATTTTAGCCATCTTATCCTAGCTTACTGGAGTTTACGCTAGTATTGAAGCCTTCCGTAAGACACCTAACTTTCAGATAAAGTTTTCGGGTCTTTTTTATCTTGAAAGTGAGCAGGTTGAGATTCGACAAGGATGCTGGCAGTCTGTTGAGATAGCAGCTTTTTGACGTCAAGCTTTCCTTGTGCTGTTAAGCCGAAAGATAATACAGCAGTGGCATACATACAGTATCGGTCATATCTATAGCACGCCATTTCAAAGTGATATTGTGTGCCTCTTATGTTTATTCATTTATTTTTAAGAGTTTTCAATTAAAATACAGTTCATTCTCAGACAAACCCCATACAAACCCATGTGTAACAATTTGTAGAAAACTACAAAAAAGTCCACCAAATTTTCACCTAAATTTCAAACTTTTTTCTCGGAAGTGTTTGAATTTTTTTCGCCAAAGGTGTTGCGGATTTCTTCCATATACAAATAAATTGAGTTTATTCATTGTATGGAAGCCAATGCGACAAAAAAAAATAAAAAAAATAAACGGTAATTCGTAGCCACTTCAAATTTGCACATTATCAGACTAAAATTGAAGAGGCTAAAAAACTGTGTACTCAAAAAAATTCTAACACTTCCGAGAAAAAAGTTTGAAATTTATGTGAAAATTCGTTGCATTTTTTTGTAGCATTCTACAAATTATTAATCTTGGGTTTGTATCGGGTTTGTCTGAGAATGAACTATATTTTAATTGAAAATTCTTAAAAATTAATAAATAAACATAAGTGACACACAATATCACTTTGAAATGGCGTGCTATAGATATGACCGATACTGTATATGTAAATCCTATCTGGTAACAGAAAGAGCCTGTGTACGACAAGTTTGAAATATTTAAAAAATTACACCTTGCTGGGAATACTGCTATTGAATCATAAATGTTTAATTGAGTAAACAAGCGAAATTTTTGAGTGGACAAAATTTTCCACACGTCGTGATATCGCCTATCAAAAAAGCAAATAATAACATATTAATATTTTCACTCGTGGTCGCGGAGTAGTCAATCAATGATATTCCAGATTTTATTTGTATGCATTTACTCCACGTACATATTTTACACCTTTCCATTTTTTTATAAATTAGCGAATGCGACAAAACTTTTATACAAAAAAAACGAGTTTTCTTGAGAATTCATTAGACACGACTTTTGCGCAATTTGATTCGCTCCAAAAACGTTTGCAAAAAAAAAAAAACAAAATAAATAGTACAATAAAAATGTTTAACAGCCATAGGTTTGAATATTTGCCAATAAAATTAGCGACAGTTTGCTGTTGACAAAATTCCAATAGGTACAAAGAATAAAAAAGGTACATATCACCGAAAAGTGCAAGGCTACGAGCAATAGCTGCTGACATCGCCCCAAGTATGTTAGCCTTAGAGGACAGTGCTCCATATAAGCCATATCGACATATGTACATACATATGTGTAAACAGTAATCGTTATTTGTTTGCTTGGCGACAGTTCAGTTGCTATTTGCTTTCGCATTTCAGCGCTAATTGATATTTTGGAGACCAGTTTATGAAATCTCGATGCATACCTTGATATTTATTTTCTTTAGAATTCTAATTTCTTTTGTTGTTATTTTTGTATGTAGATCAAGGTACTTGAGCGTGAAGATTTTCATATTGACTGAAGCAATTTTCAATTTCCCTTTTTTCTACGCTTTTCAGGTGACTCGATGATGTATCAGCATACGGTTGGTGGCGTTAGTTGCGGCGCCAGCGGCTCACCTACCACGACCACGCCACCGAACATTAATTCGTGCTCGTCGGTCACGCCACCACTGTCGAATCAGCCAAATGCAGGGCAAAATGAGATGAATGGCGACCAAATGGTGAGTACTCAATTGTGGTGAAAGGTAGCAACAACTTTCCACCATTTACGGGCGAAATGTCCTGTTGCAAGGATTATAAGCACATTTTTGCTGCTGTGGTTTGTGTATCGACTAAACTCCAAATAATCACCACACATTAATTTTTATTCACCTCTATGCGTACCTGCTAAATTAGTGAACAAATTTTTCGCTATTCACAGGGTGGCCCACCACATCATCAACAACAACCACCAACGCCGCAACAACAACAACAACAGCAGCAGCAACAACAACAGCAACAGCAAGCCCACCAACAAAACCACCATCATCAACAGCCACCGTCACAACAGCAACAACAACAGCAGCAGCAACAACAACAACAACAACAACAGTCCCAGTCACAACATCAGGAGCATGCGGCAAACAATGGCGGTTCACATATGGTGCCACATTGTCATCAATCCATGCAATCGCCATCAGATGGCGGCAACGGCGTCGGCGAAGACGATGTTTGGCGAGGACACAGTATAGCCGCCTTGCGGCGACGCGCATCCGAGCTGAATGCGACCTCGGCGATTCCCTCGTACTTGCATCATGCTGCTGCCGCACACAACAACTACGAGCACCACAATTCGGTCTACTGAAATTTGTTGAAAAGCTTTGAAAGCTTTTCGGATTACGGTTTTCCAAGTTGTGGCAATCATGAATTCTAGAATTGGCCCAAAGCGGAAAGTGATGGCGGCGGAGGCGGATACGGTGTAGGGGGGCAAAGGTGGTGAGATTGTTCTATGATGTCCAGCGCACGAAGTTAAGACCATTTTGAAAACACTGTAGCGCAACATGGCTGGTGGTGAGGATGGACACATGTGGGGTACATACATACATACGAGTGAGGAAAGGATTTTGTTAAAAAGTTTGCTGAGAGACTACTTAGCAATGAATTGAACGACGTATACGTAAACAGTGAACCGCAAGTAAAATGCAAATATTAAAATTAAGCTATACAAGTAATTAGATATATGTAATTGAGTGACACATAAAGTTGTAAAAAGCTAAGACCGAACAGTGGTTTAGGTGTAAGTATATATGTAATAAAGCACTTGCAAAGTATATTTAAATTTTTTTTTGGATACAATGTGCAAAATATTTTTTAATTGCTAGAAGTTATTATGTTCTCCCTCCAGTGTATTTACTGCGAGTTTAAATGTAGTTTTATAGAAAAAAAAGTGAAAAAGATACATTTGCACAAAACACAAATTTCGCTGAAAATAGCTGCTGTTAATAGTTTTTACACTGAAATTAAACCTTGTTTTTTTTTGTTAACAAATATAATAAAACAATATATAGTATATTCTTGATGTAATAATTTTGTATATAAAAAGAAACCGTAAGGAAAATTTAACTGTAACTAAAACTTAACGAATTGATAAATGGAATTAAAGACTATAAAATGAGTAAGAACAAATGTATACGATATATAGCGCAGTGAACGAGTAATTATAAATTATCATATAAAAAGTTAAACTTAATGACATTTAAGTAAATATGTAGTTATTTAAAGATAAATATGTGTGTGCTTGTAAGTAATTATGTAATAATATACCATAAGTTAATGTTGCTAAGATGTTAAAAAAAGTAAAATAAAAAAAGATAAAAATTAGAACCGACAAATGTTCTGTAACTATGAGTTAAACAGTGGTCGAACACATTATAGCCGCACCACATTTTGCAAAATTTTAACATATTTTTTTCTTATTTTGCAATTTTTTTTTATAAAAATATAGTTCATTCTTTAATAAATCCTTGTAAATCTATGTTTCAAACTTTGTGCAATATAAAAAAAAAAATTTTATTTAAAAAAATTTCCTACAAATTTCGAGCTTTTTAATTAGATTTCCTAGAAAGATTTTGAGTACGTAGTTTCGCAGCACATTAGATTCACGAAGAATCAAGTACAAGTTTCGAACGGCTAAAAATTAATCTTGATTTTTTTTTTTTTTATTTTTGTTTTGTCCATTGCTTCCATAAGTCGACTCAACAATTTATTTTTATATGAAAAAAACCGTACCTAACATCTTCGGCAAAAAAATTTTGAATACTATTGGCTGAAAAACTGCATAGTCAGAATCTTTCTAGGAAATCTAATAAAAAGAGCTTGAAATTTTTACAAAATTTTGTTGATTTTTTTTTGTTATTGCACAAAGTTGGATTTACATGGCTTTGGTTAAAGAATTTGCTATAGTTTTATTAAAAAAAAAAACTAAAACTAAATAACAAAAAAAAAGTAAATAATATGTTAAAACTTGTCAAAATGTGGTGCGACTATAATTTGTTCGACCACTGTATGTACATTAGACCTGCAACCTTACAGGGGAGAAGAAAGCTTCGTCGTTCACCCATGAGTCTAAAGCATTTTTGTTAGGCAATTTCGAAAAAAAAAATAATAATTTGTTGGCCTAATCGAGGGGTCGACTTTTTAACTTTTTTTGTATATCTTCAGCATTATTTGTTTTATTTCAAAGTGTTCCAGTGACTTAACTTACCCCGCTCTAGTACTTACCCACCGCATCTCAGTTGCTACCACCCTAATGCAAAAAGGCGATCCCTATCTTTGGCAAAAAAAAAACATTTGTTTCAAAATTACCTCACAAAAATACTTTAAATTCACAAACTTGTTTTCGGTACGGTATAATGTACATATGTGGGTATCTGGAAAACAAATTTATAAAAATTCAGATAAGTTTGTCTCTTTACTGTTAGTCTAACTGTTATTAATATTTTAAATTTTTCAATTGTTTTTACTAATTCCGATTAAGTAAATTACACTATGGAACAACCCCAAGAAGAGTACGCGTATATGTTTGTCAAACCCTGAGAGCATTTTGGTCCAACTCAGCACAATTTTTTACAGCATAGCGTGCACCTAAAATAACGTCAAAATTGGTTAATTATATTGTTCACCTACTCTAAAAAAATAATAAGCGAGAATGTTAAAAAAAATATGTTTTGATGAAATTCGGTGCATCCTGGTCGCATACTTGAAAACTTATGACGTCCACCTTCTAGAAAAGCACTAAATTTTATGAATTTTGGTGAAAGTTACATTTCTAAAGCAATTCGCTGAACTCGCAGCTGGATCAATTTCAAAAAATGACTCGCATTTTTAATATTTGCTTGCCCTAAGAATAATTCAGCTCGCTTGCTTGGACCTCTTTAAATATCCGTTTTTAAAGCAAGCAACCGAAAAACACGAGAAACTGTCTTATGAATTTCCGTAGATATATACAAATTGGCCACATACAAATTAAAAAAAAAAAAAAAAAACTGGTCATCGATCTGATTGGCTTATTTAATTTCAAAACACATGAAAGAATCGTTATATCCACGAAACTATGGGCCAAATATAGTAAAACTGCATTTTTAGTTTTTCACATTGACGTCAGGATTTTTTATTTCAAAGGACTTTGAAATTTTAAAGATATGATTAATTAAAAAAATTATTTTAAAAATCATTGCAATGTAGAATAACAATATGGGTACCAAATCAAAGAGAAAATTCTGTAGAATTGTAAAACAATAAAGTTTTTTGGTTTACAAGGACGAATAGGTATTGAAAACGCGCTTTTAATAAATTTTAACTTTTTAAGTTAATAAAGTTTGCTGGTCGAAATTCGATGATGAGGTCTTGCGTATATTAGTCGTCAAACAATAAAAAAAAATAAATAAAAATAAAATATTGCAAATTTTTTAGGATATTTAAGAACAAAATTTGTAAAGAACATTTTCCATACCCATTCGTCCTTATACACAAAAAAAAAAAATAATTGTTATAATTTTAAAGAATTTTTTCTTTTATATGATACCCTTATTATTATCCTATATTCCACTGAACTTTTTTAATCATTTTTTTAAATAATCATATTTTTTAAATTTCAAAGTCCTTTAAAAAATCCTGACATCAGAGAGAAAAACTAAGCACGCAGTTTTACTATAATTCACCCTTAGTTTCGCGATTATATTCATTTTTTTTTTGTGAAATTTACTGTCGCACGGTGTTATATAACCGAAAAATTAATTTAAATAACTTAAGACCAAAGCAAAATTTTCACCCCTTTCCCCCTCCCTATCGACGGGTCTGAAGCCAAATAAACCGTTCGACGACACGACCCTCCTCAGTCCAGTCTGCATGCTGGGGATTCTTAAAGAAATATCCTAAATGGTATTGTGCACAAACGCCTGATTAAGGGCATTGAAGAATCCAGCAGCCTATTACAAAACTAATTCGATCAACTCAAATGACATTAAAAGTAAACGCTGTACAGGAAGCCCAATAAATATGTGCTGTATAAGGGTCAACCTCTATATTAAAAATGCATTTAATTTGGCATTCCTGCAGTGGACTCCAGCAACTTTGACAGTGTTTTCCGCGCTCAAATTTCTCCCTACTAGATTCGTCAACTACTTTGAGGGTAAATTTCCTGCAATACAATACCTTCGAGAACGATAGGGGATTCAAGATGACTATGATATACCGCAGCGTGCAGTACTAGACCCTTTATTCCAAAACATAATGCATATGTAATGAAATACAGCGACTCAACATCGTCACGGAAGTCAATATTCATATGAAAGGCGACAGTAGCTAGGCATCTGGATCAGATCTCCATACTGTAAATGTAACTATAATCTTTATTGGTTGTAATGGTTGGACTTGATGGACGAGGATATTATTTTGAGTATGAAAGGAGTTATTATTAACATCATAGACCAATAATCCGGTGTCACAATCTGTCATTTGGGGCAATCTGTCATTTTTATGTATTTAGAATTTGCGACATATACGTCTTTGGAAAGAAACCCAATTTCGAAGCTTTTCGACTGGACCCACGCAGTCACTTCAAGGCTCAGCTACAAAAATTAAATCTGTAAGACACTGATACGTACGATAGTTGATATCTTTGCTAGCCAATTTATATGTATTTAAAATTTTTATAAAATATTAATTTGTGAAAAAATTGGATGTACTAAAATTCCTTCGGATTTGACTAACACGCATGGATACTAACGTTTGGGCATTATTTCGCTGAGGACTCAAAAGCAATTTTTTTCCACAGTGTTGTTGCTAAACCCAATCACTTATGGCGTTTTCTATTCTATCGAAAAATGTTGCCTTCTCATTGCCCTTACCTTTGTATTTGTGCTAAGAAGGCAACATTTATCGGTAGAATTGAAAAGGCCATAAGTGATTGTGTTTACAAATAACACTGTGGCATTATTTTAAAAAGCCTTTCCAACTTTGTATCTGTGCAATAATATGTATTTTAAGTAACAACAGGCTATAAAGCCAATAATTTATATTTGATATATTTTTTTGTCGATATTATTCGTATAAACATTTCACGTCTTTGTACTTCGATTTTATTTAAACGTACGAAAATTAGTAATATATGTGCCCGGTTTAATCAAACAATTTTTAAAATTTATCACACCGTAAAAATTTTGCGAACAAAAATGTGCCATTTTAAATTTTAACAGACTAATGAATTAAAAACTACAAAGCTCAATTTCTTCTTACTATCCGAAAACTGCGATCTTCTGGTCGAATAGGCAAGATAAGTACTTAGTAGGAACTACATTCAATAAATATATTTTACAAAAAAATTTCAAGTTGATATCGCACATTTGCTGCAAGAGTGTCATGATCCAAAAAAAAAAACAAAATAAAAAATCAGTTAGGTATGCAGAAATATGTGCCAACTGTATATGTAAATTTGAAACTTTAAAGCAGTTTTTCTTGAATTTTTGATATTTTGGGTTATGACACTCTTGCAGCAAATGTGCGATGGGGCTTCTGAAATTTTCACTTTTTCACTTTTACTGTACATTTTCAGTGACACGCAACGCTGTTGCACTATGCCACCAACTGAAAATCGATAACAAGAAATTTAATTCAAATGTTAAAGATAATGAAGATGTTTTCCACAAAGAATTAAAAATGTAATAGACTTTATTTAATAGCTCCATTTAAACTTAAGATAGCCATGGATAAATATACACTAAATATGTATACAATAATTGAATATCGCATTGCTGCTAATTAAATAAAAATAAATTTAAGACAGTAATATGTGAGCTAGCTACTTATACATGTAAATAAATACGTACTTATAAAATAAATAAAAATTAAATATAAAAGGACTTTATGTGAATAGCTCTAGTGAATCAAACAAGTGACCACATGTTGATTTTTTTGTCATTTTTTGAATAGATACTCACAATATTTTTTAATATTGTCCAAGCTTTGGCAAAAACAATATAAATAAAAGATTCAAACTTTATGCAAAATTTAAGAAAATTCAAAAAATTTTCAACAAAGTGCCAAACTTTTTAATCTTAATCTTTCGAACATTTCTGGGCACGCAATTTTATGGTACATAAACTTTTAGTCCAATGAAGTGCAAGTTTCAACCGGCTAAAAAGTCGCGTTAATTTTTAATAATTTTTTTTTTGGTGACTACTCTTGCCGTTTTATTTTTATATAACAAGCGCAATTTAAAAAAATTACGTTAATTTTGTAAACTTTGTTGCGAGCGGTCTCCCGCATTTTATTTCTTGAGAAATTCATGCATAGAAGGAAAAATGTGCAAAAATCGCCAGCAAACAAAAAAAAATATTAAAAATCTTCGCTATTTTTTAGCCGCTTGAAACTTCCTCTTCACTCATCTAAAATTCTATGGCCTATAAAACTGCATACGCAAAATGTTCTAAAAATTCAGATTAAAAACTTCAAAAATTTTGATGCAAATTTTTTAAATTTTCCTAAATTTTGTATAAAAAATAACAAAAAAAAAAACAAGTTGAAAAGCTGCGATTTAGAAGAAATAGCTTTAATAAAGCCTAGACCTTTCACCGAAGAAAAAGTAAAACAATTTTTAAGGGATATAAAACAGCACGTCCGTCGCTTCTCTTCTCTATCAATTGACGCCAATTGAAAATGCCAAATGAAGCCAAGTCTTCCTCTGTTACCAGCATCGCGAACAGCGTTGAATACTTTCTGAGCTGGAGCGTTTCTGTCCCTTCGAACAACATGACCTAGCCAGCATAGCCGATAATGTCGATGTCGTCGGCAAATGTCGTCAATTGTACGCTCTTGTAAAGTATTATGCCTGAGCCGTTCAGTTCAGCTGCTTTTATTATCTTCTCCAACATCAGAAAAGATTAAAGAAATTACATGACAGCGAGTCACCATGTCTGAAACCTCGCTTGGTATCAAACGGTTCAAAAAGGTCATTCCCGATTCAGACAGAGCCGGTGATATTGATCAACGGCTTGGGGTTGTCTTTTCCACAACTTTCCGTGCTGCTACCATTCAGTAGAAAATTGTTCCCTACATAATTTTAAGTGCATTCTGGACAACGATCACTAAGCCGCCATGGTTGCTCTTACATGAGTTCGCCCCGGTCTTGCAGCCTTCCAGTCGGCCAGCATCTCTAGCTCTTCGCACTCACGTCTCGCTTCCCTCTTTAGCTCCCTATAACGGCTCCACATGGCTCGCGTTGGGCTCGACCGCAGCGCGGACCTGTAGGCGGCATCTTTTTTCTCTGCAGCTTCTTGACACTCCTCACCGTACCATCTGTTGTGATTGCAGCTTTTTGAACTTAAGCTTTCCTTGCATTGTTGGGCTGCACAGAGACGGGTGCGTATCTTGATTTCTTATTTTTTTATCTGGAGATAGCCGTGTAGCTTCACGGATCATTTTATGCTTCAACCTGGTACTACATAATACCATTTTATTATCTTGTTGAGGGAGGTCCGCCTTAAGGCAAAATTTGTTTCAAAGAAAGGTTATAAAGCAAAACTCAGATTTTAAAAGTGAAATAAAGCAAATTTTGCGTTATTACCGTTTGTGTTATTGCTATGCCCGAGAACCCAGCATAGAGTGACGTTGATACGGCTCAGTGACGCCAGCGTGATCCACATTTCCATACAATTCCCGACTTCACTATTTTAGATCCTATTGCCTTCAGTTCAGTTCTGCCTGACTGTCGGTAAAAGCAGTGGCTTTTTATTCTGGAACTCTACTACTACGTAAAAGACTAGCCTCCCTCTCTATAGCGTAGATCTCCCCTTAGAAAACACTGCAGTAGTCGTTCGGTAGACGAAAGGACCGGTTGATCTGCAGGTCCTTCGAGTAGACACCGACTCCGGTTCCTTATTTCATCTTTGAACCGTCAGTGTAGATGGATATAATCTCCCTTTGCTACTGGTAGTCCTGCATCCCATTCTTCTTCAGGCGGGAACCTAATGGGTATCTTCGTATTAAAGTCCCAAACAGGCATAATTCCATTTAGCCGGCCTCTTTAATTTCATTCACTATTGCTGCATGCCCGAAATTGGTTGCCTTCCGCGTTTCGGCCTCCTTGAGTCTAAGAGCGCTCTTTGCGGCCGTACCATGGAGGACAATATGCAGCGGTAATTACCTTGCCAATTCACCCCATGTTTTAAATTCTTGGAACTTACCTTAGCTCTTAACTGCAGTTAAGCTGTTGGTGGAAATAGGGTATTATTTACCTCCAATCTATTACTGTAAGTACTGTTAAAAATTAATCAACTCTTAGATAAATTGACTGCATTTTGCAAATATGTTTATCTTAAAGAACTAAATAACTCAAACGTTGGCAGAAATCTGTGCTGATTGGCACTTTTCAAATAAAACTCAATCAATACTAACAGTTACATTCAATTTCATTGAAGTCAATCATTGAATTCAGAATGTGACATATTGTACTCAGATTCAATATAAATCTTTGACATATAAAAGCTCCATTTCTTTGCTGTAGCCAGTATGCAGAAAATTACAATATAAATAACTATGCAAATATACTTATTACAAATACAACAATCAACCATTGTATATACATATGTACATATGTATGTACTTCATAGTAAAATCAAGTGTCTAGTAAAGCCTTATAGTCATATTTGCATATCCATAATGTTAGATGCGTATGCGAAAGGTGGAAAGGAAGTCCGGGGCACGCAGAATGACATGCTCGAATTCAAGAAATGACAATTTCCCATCACCATCTACATCCGCCTCTTCCATAACCTTATCGGCTATCTGTTGATGCTCCTCCGGACTTAATTCATTCTTCGTCATGGTTGTGAGACAAGACATGAGGTCGGCGTGACCAATGAAGCCATCTTGATCAAAATCTGAATGAAGGAAGTTGAGAAAATGGAATTGAACGAACAAACAGGTTAAATTGTGCAGAGCCAAATGTGAACGAATGATGGTTGACTGTGAAAGTAGTAACTTAAGGCTTTGTGTGTGTGTGTGTGTGCCTGAAGTGAAATTAAACAGTGAGTGTATTAAACAGGTATACTGTACAGGATATGCATGCAGATGCCGATGTGTGTGTGACAACAAATAGCAAAACGCAGACATGTGTATATACATGCATACATATGTATGTACATACGTATGCTTGTGTATTGTAGGTGCGCATTTACAAACAAGTGCAAGATAGCATGGTATGGCTTTGTAAAGGATGATGCGAATTACATACATATATACATACGTAGGTCTCATACGAGTTGCAGCACGTTGACCTACAAAGTTTGTACCCAAAGCAATTTGCTTTTCTGATAAGAGCCTGTGTCCCAACTTAGTTTGCAGCGTGTGGTGCGGTGCAGTGCAGTGTAGTTGAAGCAGTATAGTCATTTTCATTAAGATTTTCTGCATTTCCTGCCCTTATAATGCATTACAATTTGTAGTGATTACCTGCAGCAATGCAATTTTATTGCTGAGTACTGCAGTCAGCTTTTCACACACAAGTAGACTACATACATACATACAGACATGCAGGCGCATGCCAAGATACATACGTACGAATCGTTCGTGTATGTCTTATAAGTTTATTCAATTTTATTTAATTGCATTACCGCTTACTATGCATATTTTACTACACTGAGGAAAAAAACGCGTACCTAGGAAAAATAAATTTTTTTTATTTGACTACTGTTTAAAAATGTTCGTATTTAAATAAAAAAAAAATGTATAATTAAATAATAACGTATTTAAATCAAGTGAAAAGTGTTCAAACGTAGTGTATGCATAATTAATGTGACCAACTATTTCATAGCTCAAAGAAGTACAGAAACTGAAAACCAAAAATAGTATGAAAGTAATGCGAAAATGGCAAAAGTAGAATATACAAAAACGGTAACAGTGTAAAAATTCAACAAATAAATTTTTTTAATTAAAAATATATACTATTTATTATTCTAAGACAATACGTACAGAGACAAGTCATGTATCAAATTAAAGTGCTCGATCTGAAACCACTTTTTAAATATTTTCATGGAAAAATCAGTAATTGGTGTAATTCAGCTGCGAAATCAATAGCTTTAGACGGGAGTGCACAAAATGGACCAATTTATGAAAACGGGGCATTCCAACGTGACGTGTGGGACATTTTAACTCGTTTTTGCTCAAACTTTAAGTCATTTCTCTTCAACCATTTATTGGATAAGTCTCAAAAACTTAACACTTGATGTCAGATATGAGATTATTATGAAACTAAAAAAGTATAAAACTTAATTATTTAATTTACACAGAAAATTTACATTTTGCGAAAGTGGCCTTTCTCGTATGTAGATAAGACCCATTTTATGCTTTAATGGCATTAACATATTTGAAAATAAAAACAAGACTCATTTATTACATCTATTTTTGTAATAACGCAGCACTGGTTTAAAGTCCATGTGAGGTGTATTTTCTCCTTGGATAATTATTATTTGCATTGTCAACTTAAATACACGAGCATTGCCTTGACAACTTGATGAAAAAATACTTTATGAGGGATAGTCGCACTACGCTTGCGAACCTGTGGTATCGTCTTCGCTAAAATGACCCTCAGGTAAATTTATTAAGCTATTTATGAAATATATTTTAATAATAAATACTTTTCAGGAGAAAACAAATCCCTCCAAAACCATTACAAATTTCTGCAGTATGAAATGAAATAAAAATCCAAGTAGTGATAAACCTCATGGCATGTGTATCTCTATTTATAAGCTGATGGCACATATGATTGAAGTTAATGTGGAGCGCTTCTCTATTGCTCATTATTAATATTTTGCAATTTATATTGATTTATTAAATCCAATTTAATTCAATCAAAACGAATATTTCATGTACCGTTTTTGACTTGAATGTGATCTTAATAATATCAAGTGACTGCGACACAGACCACTGGTCAAGACGAAGGCACTGGACTGAACCTTTTTTTAATTTAGCACATTTTTTTTTTAATTCTAAAATTTTTTTCTATCAGTGTACATATTGAGATTCTACATAATAGTTTATGAACAATATACGAGTAGGTACACGTATTTGTATGTACAAAATTAAACACAGACACCTGCGAAGTGAGCGACAATCACATTGAGAAAATCGGATTATTGTTCACAATAAATTTTACATCAACTTGCAAACGTGCGTATTTACAATAATATATAAATACACTGTCCCATTAGGAAAAATCGGACTACAGAATGATTTTATTTTTTTTGCCAGTGACAATCTTATGATACGAATCGACCCTTCTGCATTTGGAATGGTTCGTAGAAATGGTCTACCGTACAGCGAAATTCCTCCGTAAATTTGACTTAATATACATTCTATATCAACTCGTTAATCCGGAATTATCTCGGGAATTAACTACAGTTGATCCGGATTAAGTCCTAGAGTTAATGCCCTAACATAATTCGGATCAAGGGAATTTTCGATGACAACACTGACTAAAGGCTCAGTTATGCAAGACTTAGATTTGATTTGAATAGAAAACTGTATATCTGGCACATTGGCAGCGCATGTATTTAGTTACCAAAAAAAAACTTCACTTAGAAACTTGGAGGACTATAGATTTTTGATTTCTAAATAAAATTTCTATGTGCAAATTAAACGTTTGCAATTTTACGTGTACAAATACAAGTGCTGATATTCATACAAAATAGATTTCACCCATTAAAGAGATAGGTGAAGGTAGTACCCTTGTCGGATCTTAGACTAATTAAAACGCTAAAAAGAATATTAAAAAAAAAATATTTTTTACCACGCTCTTATCCATAATTTAAAGCACCATCTGCTCACAGAAATGTCAAAACTAGACTAAAAATGGCGCACGAATAAGCAAAATAGCAAAATGATTTTGATTTTAGCGCAATAACTGTGCAATTTCACACAAACGACCGACGGAAGCCCGATATTGCGCAATGTTTTTGTGTGGTTTAGGGACAGCGGCATGTGCAAAGAAATTCCGGGTTGTATTTCCCTTTCAAGAGTTACCAAAACAAACTTATAAATATCTACATATAAAGTATTAAGACTTTAAATAACAAGAAAAAATATTTGCCTTCAATGCATAGTTTTCTTAAATTAATATCTGCAAACCAAAAGAATCAAAATGGGGCATTTGTGAACAAAAAAGTATCAAATCTTAAAATTTAGCAAAAAAAAAAGTATCAAAAATAATACAATTGTATCAAAACGGCAACGCTGTAATGCAGTCACCATACTAATTCAAATAGGAATCCAATTTAAATTGAATCAGAACTTATTTGAATTAGTATGGTGACTGCATTACCGACAACAAGAGGGAGGATCCATTCTACTTTTGCATATTTTTTGCATTCTACGCTCCCTGAGCAAACAAATAAGCAAACAAAGCAGCCAATTGCTTCATGTGCGGTAGGCGAATGGTAAGAGCTGCGTACTACAATGCCGCAGGACCCAGGTTCGCTCCTCGCTTCGAGCGATTGTTAAAAAATTTATACTTTATTATTTCATTTTTATTATTTATTTTATTTTCCTTTCATTTGTTTTATTTTATTTCACATTATATTTTAGTTAGTAAAAATTTGTTTAATTTAAGTTAATTAAGAAAGTAAAAAAAAAAACTAATTAAAACCATTATTTAAGAAATATAGAAGTTATAATTGAATGAATAAAAAAATTATATGGCCGTCTGTCAAGGCAAAATTTTGATTGGATAAACTGCGTTGTTAATCCGGATCAACGTTGCCGCCTGTCTATGCTTTAACATCACAAATGTACTGCGAATGGAGTAGTTAGTTGCATTCAATAAACTCTAAAAAGTTTCTGGACGTCTCCATATGCTGATGCTCTTTCTAAGGCCCACTAAACCATGGGGTATGGAGCTCTTGCTTAATAAATGAACCTTGTTTTTTTGGTCTACTGAAATCAACCCTTCTTTTTTTCTGTGATCATCAAAGACACAAAAAAAAATCACTATTACAATCAGCTTTAGTCGCGAGCATTATGACTTGGTATTACGTAATCCAAACTAATTTTTTTTCAAAAAAAAAAAAATCCATATTTTTTGGTATAGAAGCACATCAGTTCGGAATACGTAGATTTTCCTACAGGTAGCTTTTTACAAACAATAACAACATCTATTCAAACTTATTTCTTAAACGAGTACTAAAATGCTTTAACGAAGTTCGGTATTGACAAAGTGTTTATTGATTTTGTCGTTGACTTTGAGAAGAATTAAGTAGAAAAGGTACATATTTGTAAAGCTTTGCAAATCTGTGCAAATACGTATAATAAATATAGCGTGCATACACATTTACATATGTACATACCCTTGTGGTCAGCTGATTAAGTCAAGTGACATTTTGACTAGATTTGGCTATTTTTCTAATGTTTAGAGTTTTTTTTTAATAAAAGTTTAGCACTTTATCTAACCAGCGCCACATAAATCCACATTTCAAACTTCGTACAAAAATTATGAAAATTCATCATTTGCAACCACAAGTTTTAAATTTTTTTTTCGACTTTTCAGAAAAATTTTTGGTATGCAGTTTTGTATTTCATTAAATTTTAGTAGATTAAAGTGCAAGTTTCTAGACGCTAGAAAGTCGTGTTTGTTTTTAATACTTTTTTTACTGACGGTATTGTGCATATTCTTCCATATAAAATATGCTCGATAATTTCGTTTGTATGTTTGTATGCGCCTTGAAATTTATACTTTGACCTTGTAGAATTTAATGGGCTACAAAACTGCATACCCAAATTTTTCTAAAAATTCTTAATAAAAAGTTGGTTAGCTAAAGTGCTAAACTTTTATAAAATAAGATATAAACATTAAATAAACAAATAGCCAAAACTCGTCAAAATGTCACTTGAC